CCATTATTATTATTATTATTATCATTATTATTATTGTTATTGTTATTATTATTATGAGAGTGAGAAGGAATATTATTATTATTATCATTATTATTATTATTATTTATTATTATTATTATTATTATTTTTATTGTTATTATTATTAAGAGAGTGAGAAAAGTCTTCAGCATCTTGTGAAACAGTTCAGAGGAATAGGACTGAGTATGAATACAGGGGAAAGAAAGTATTGTACAAAAAATATCTATAACAATAAGTTATTTCTTATCTTTTAAAAATAGATATCTAAGAAGCTCTTCTTGTTCGTATACAGTATCAGAAATGGTACTCACAAGAACTTGAGGAGGCATTTCCTTCAAATTGGAATAAAACCTAGGTAAAAATAATAAGAATAATCCAAAGAAGAGTAATTAAAATTTTTAATGAAGGGTTCATGGGAACACTGGTCGCATTCCTTGTCATGCTGTTTCTGTGGAAGGCATTAAAGATGTGGTAGCATTTTTGGAGAACTATGTTGAAGACTACGCCATTTTACTACCTGGGAGGATACCTGGAGTGAGGGATTATGGGAAGGCCAAGCTATTGCTGTCCAGTGTGTCCCGACGCATGGTTTACCAACAGTATGCTGATGCTGGTAGGGAACATACTCTCTGTGAAAGTTCCTTTAAAAGAATATGGAGAAAGTATATTCCCCACATGTACAGCATCAAGCCAATGACGAACTTATGCTGGACGTGCAAAAAGAACAGCACTGCAATTTTAAGGAATGCTGGGTGTGAGATTGAGCATCAGTCCGAGGTAGATTTATTATTATTAACAATGTAATTATTCTTGCCTGTAAAATGCTATCCCTTAGTGAGTAACTTTGTCTTTAGTTAACTTGTTAATTTCATATTACTTTCAAGAATAATGATACTACATGAACATACAGTACTATTCCTTCATGTGTTAGTAGTATCTAATGGTATTTAAAACATGTTAATGTGTATTGTGTTCTTATTATTAGTATAACTTACCTTAATCTCTTTTTGTTGTTAGAAGAAAAGGAGACATCATAGGGGTAAATGGAAGCATTGACGAGGTGGCGGGAGAGGAGCAGGAAGAGGAGGTGGCCAAGGAGGAGGAGATGGACAAAAAAGAGGGGCAGCTGGCCAAGGAAGAGGGGGAGGTGGCCAAGGAAGCGGGGGAGGTGGCCAAGGAAGAGAGGGAGGTGGCCAAGGAAGAGGCCAAAGAGGAAGAGGAGGCCCTGCTACAACAGTAAGAGAAAGAAACATCATTAAACATAACAATAACAACAAATTTTTCATAGGATTCATCCACAAGTGCAAAGACAATAAACTAT